GATCACCAGAACACTTGTCTGGTCTCCCCAGCCTTACAGCTTGGGAGCTCCAACAAGTCCAGGAAAGCTTTGTGATGCTTTCGCGATGTGTCGAAGTCCTTACATTGGTTTTTCAATCGGGCGGTCACGTACACTTGGAACAACCATTGAATGCTATGTCATGGTTGGAGGGAGTGGTACGGCAATTTCTTCAACTGATTGGGGCTTCGTGCATCAATATTGCAGCTTGTGCCTATGATATGGATATATACAAAGTTTGCCTCCAGTTTTTTGGGACTTCGCCCCTTGGGATGCACATGTCAACATCCTCCCAACTCTCATGTTCGTCTCCAGGGCCTACGGGATGACTCAGATGCTTTTGCAAGCAGGGCGACTGCACAATATCCATCCAAATTGGCACAACTGTTTGCCACGTTAGTGGCACCACTTTTGGACACCCCAGCATTCGATTTACAATGGTCGTCATTGAATGCGATCATGCCCATCAAACAACTCTCGGACTATCCTTTTGCACAAATCCACGGGGGTGGAGCTTTTTCCCACCCTGACTGGAGTCAGGATCAACGTCAAGAACAAGATTGGTTTCATGAGCTCCGCACCTCCTGGGTTTCATGAGCTCCGCACCTCCTGGGTGCACCGAATTGTTTCAGCAAGGTTAGATAAAATCCTGCTGGCTCATGTGGCTTCGGGCAGTACCTCACCGCCTTTTTCCACAGAGATACTACATCCCTTCAGGGAAGACCTGGAGAAATTTTTGGTATCACATTGACAGCAACCTGACTGGTCAATTCGGAAGCATCAACCTATGCATCTTCATATTCTTCATTCGCTACAGAGGATCATGCATGATTTTGATTTTACATTATTACCCAGCTTATTAGAGGGTGTCCGGACAGGTTTCTCCACAGCAATTCCTCCATCGGGTATTTTTCCACCCAAAGAACCAGCAGACACGGAGTCCGAACCATTGTCAGCACACCTCTCCAATTGGCAAAGCGCAGAAGAGGACCTGAAGTTAACGCGGGAACTCGTTCAAGAAGAAGTTGATCAAGGTTGGGTTTTCGCTTATCCAGGTTCTTTAGATGAAGCCCAAAAAGAATATCCCGCTGGAGTCGCTATTGGAAAATTGGGAGTTGCTCGATCGGAGGGAAGAGCTCCTCGCCTTGTAGTGGATTCCAGTCTTTGTGGACTGAATGGTCGCTGCATCATTCCTGAGCGGTCCACCTTACCTACAGCCAAGGAAGTTCTACGCAGTTACCCACTACGAAATTGCCAGAAAGCCTTGACAGGTTTCTCCTTGGACGTCAAGGCAGCTCACAAAAGAATTGTCCTACATCCAGATGAATGTGGCCTAGTGGGTTTCTCCCTGGAGGGACAACTTTTCTTCTACAGAGTTACACCTTTTGGTGCAGTTTTCTCGGCATTCTGGTGGGCGCGTTTGGGTGGACTTATTTTGCGTATATTTCACCATCTGATCTGGTTGAGTCATGCAGGATTTTTATATGTAGATGATTTTCTCTTTTTTATGGAAGCCAACATGATGCCATTGTCTGCAACATTGTTATGTATTTTTTGCCAGCTACCGGGAATTCCCATCAGCTGGAAGAAGACTGCCATGCATTCTACCATTGACTACATTGGTTGGCGGTTCAACTTCAATGCAGGGATTGTTACGATCCCGATCGACAAAATCCTCAAACTGCGAGGGTACATCGAACACCTCATCTCGCAGCCAAGAACGACACGCAAGTCCTTGGAGAAACTAATTGGATTAGCAATGTGGATTACTCAACTGTTTCCACTTATGCGGATCTGGATCCATTACTGGTATCACGACCTCTACACCATCCCTGCAGCACATTTCAGTATTGATGCCGGCGTATGGCCTCGCATTCATCAATATTTAACACCGAATTTGACATTTCATACAGCACCTCTGGGCTCGGCTATACCATTATCAGGCAAATTGATTTCTGTCCGACATCAAACAGTATCATCCTTGGCCGATCTTTCCTCCTTACATATCAAAACCGAAAACAGGATTTGGCTACGGATTATCAATCCAAATTCGTCGAAACGTAAACTTCGACCTGATTCTCTTCGTGTTCTGAAGTTATTTGAGCACTGGCTGATGGGAGTTCCTCCATCTCGCCCAATGCGAGCAAAACCGTATTGGAACGGAATTGCTTCCGCAGATGCATGTGCCTCTGGTTCTTATTGTCAAATTGGAGGATTTATTCGCCATCATTCAGGAGTTCAATTTTGGTTTTCTGAGAAATTTTCTCATGCAGATTTTGACACTTTGTCAATTCATTTGGACCCCAATATGCAATGCAGCATAGCATCCTTTGAAACCTTAGCCCAAATAGCACTGGTATGGTTGGTTGCTACTTCTTTTCCTGGTTTTCGAATTCCCATTGGCCCATACGCTTGAAGTCTTTGAGCGACAACACTGGGGCTGAAAGCGTGAGCAACAAATTATTTACTACGACTCATCCACTATGTCTTTTTGTCAAGATCCTCACGTGCCTGGCTTCCACTACAGGTATTGAATTGGATGTGAGTCATATTCCAGGAGCAGACAATATTATTGCGGATGATCTGAGCCGTTGGGATTTTTCTACTCCCATACCACATGATTTTCAACCAGGTGAAAGAATTCAACTTTCACTCAGCCAACTCTGGCATTGTTCACCTCAACCCACTTTACATCCACCTGACTCCAAACTCCTGTGGAAACTCCCACTTCATTTTACTGAGTAATCTGCTGGAATGGTTCTCACTTTCTTGTTTGGGGGTGTTTTGGCGATAACCATAATACCAGATAGTTTTTAACTTGGGTTGTTGATGCCATCTGGTCAAATGGTTCGATTGAAGTATGGTCGAATCCAACCTGGTTCAACAGTGAGACAAACCATCCAGCAGATGAAAAGGGAGTAGGTTCTGAGATCAGAAACGAGACAAGGTCAAACGGGAGGATCGAATGCGTTTGTTGGTTTTGCGTTTTAGTTTGTTCGTTTGCGAAATCTGGATTTTATCTCATTAACAAATGAAAGTCCTTGAAGAACGTTTAATGTACTTGTTCATTGTGTTTTGCAAGGATCTTCTTTGTATACCCTTTCCATTTTGGCTCAAGGACTTTCATTTGTGCGTTTACATTTTTTGTTTCCCTCCCTCCCACACCTTGTTCTCAATTTTACTTCTGGGTCTTGTCGACCTTCGGATCTCAGTGTTTCACCTTGCTTTCACCAATTTCGACTCGTATGATGCTCCACTTTCGGGACTTCGAGTCATTGGCTATATGTTTTACGGTGGCGTTTCTATTTGATCATTGTCTTCTACTCCACATTTTGCTTTGATGTGCTTCGTCTTTCCATGCGTTGGTGACTTTTATGTCACTCTTGGCATTTCTGCAAAGCCGGCGATAATGCACAATTGTGCATTAACTATATTCAATCGACCCGAATGGGTTGTTGATGCCATCTGGTCAAATGGTTCGATTGAAGTATGGTCGAATCCAACCTGGTTCAACAGTGAGACAAACCATCCAGCAGATGAAAAGGGAGTGCGTTCTGAGATCAGAAACGAGACAAGGTCAAACGGGAGGATCGAATGCGTTTGTTGGTTTTGCGTTTTATTTTGTTCGTTTGCGAAATCTGGATTTTATCTCATTAACAAATGAAAGTCCTTGAAGAACTCTAAACTTCCTTCGAATATCATGTGATGAGGCACCTCACGAAGCAGTGCAGAACTATGGCCACCTATGCCAGGAAATTCGCATCACTTGATGCAGTGTTTTGAAAATCAGTCTTTTAACTTGTGTGAGCCAAAGCGGTTTTGCAAACAATTTGTCCGACGAATTTCTGATTGCTGCCGTTGAAGTTCGAAGAGCTCCCTGGAGAGATAGAAGCATTGTCTCGAACAATGGTTTTCATTTGCGAGCACCGGCTTGCATCCTCACTGAGCCAAGTCAGTAACTGAGAGATGCGCGCCTATGTTAAATAGCTGGACAGCAACCGGTTCCCTTTTCTTGCTTATGGGAATTATGGGGTGCTGCTTATGCTTGGGTGGAGGGTGCCTTGGCTCTTTGCGGGCGAATTGCTATGGAACTGCCGATGGTCCAGTGAGGATTGGCTCTCTTTCGGGACAAAGGGTTTCGGAGTAGCACCTTGGAGGCCCAATCATAAGATCTCCAAGTGCGATGCATGAGCTTGCTGCGCACATGGTCATCCTTTGGACGTCTACTGCCTGTGCTGTTATTGGCAGCCAGTTTCCTGTTGAGGGCACCCGTTCTGCCAGTTTGCTCTCTGCTATGCCGCGCGAAACGTTGTGTTCTTGACGGGAAAAACGTCCGTCAGTGATTGGAGAAAAGTAGGTTCGCTTGCGCGACGGTTTCGGTCGCGTTCGCGATAGTCTCGAAACGGTCTCGAGGTGCTAGAGATGTGCTTTGCGCTCCTGACCACGGCGTTCAAATGTGCTTTCTTGCACGCAGTTTGCATACCTCTTCAAATTGGTGCAACCGTGCAACCTCTGCGTTGCCGTGATAGCAGAGATTCAATGAGTTCTTTCTCCTTCGCTGGATGCTCTTTGCAGTGCAAGTCAATGGATGCATTTTCGACACCCGGTTTGGCAGTTGGCAATGCGCTTCTTGTGTCACCTGCCAAAATTGCAATGGTTCATAGTGAATTTATTGCGGGGCAAGTTACAGGAAATCCACTAGCCCTCTACCATCGAACTGGCATGAGGCGGCGCGTGGGTGACAGTGAAAACAGGATTGCACTTTGTGGTGTTCCTTTAGATCATGTGCCGAGGATGAGCCCTGCCTGGAATCTGTGGCATCAACGGTCCTTGGACCCCGTGTGGGGCTTTTCCCTTTACACTACATGAGCACCGGCTGGTGGATTCCGTCTCTTGGGATGCGAACCAGATTCTAGATGATGTTGTTCGTTTGCAAGGAGTTCAGTGGACAGGTATCTCAAACGCTTTGTGGCCAGACACATGAGTGCATTCAATGCCAGTGCAAACTCCTGAGGCTTGGATTGGCGAGCTGGCTGGCGAGAGTGAATTGCGCAGTTTGGTGAGTTCAATGTGCGATGGAATTTTCGTCATAGCCATAGTTTGCGCAGAGTTTGTCTTGGGAGAGAACGTGCAGCGTGCCCAATACACAGACAGCAGTTTTGCAAGGCACTTGGCAAGCCGCCACGGATGTGGTCCTGTCCATCATTTTTCCGGCAGCATCGTTTAGGTCCAACACAGAAACGAACAATGGTTTGGTGACCTTCAAACAAGTACCAACAATGTGGAACCTGGACAACTTATGAACCTATTATTACAGTAATGCCTTTCAAAGCAGCGGTTGTTTCTGCTCGTGCATGAGAGCAGTCTGGTCCACGTCTACGTTGCAACTTCCGAAAATGTTGGAGTTGAAGAACATCAGCGGCGCCAAAGTGAGAAAACGAGGAACACAAAACAGTTTCAAACGATCGCCGAAGCAATCATGAGGATGTGTGTTGCACTGGGCCCTGAACCACGTACTTGGGCAGCGCCCCAATTTATTCTGGATTGGTGCAATGGTGATTCCGCTGGCTTTCTCAACTTTGCATGGCGTGCTTGGAAGAGTATGCGCCGTGACATTTTAAATTCTAGGTGCTCAGGACCAATTGGCTGACCACTATGATTACGCTGCAGGTTTCACTGGCCGCGTGGGATATTTTGCAGGATGGATGGTTGAGAATGAAGGCGTTGGAGAGAGTTGATGCCTTGGAAACATGGGTATCGATCCATGCAGAGGACGCAACAGATGCACTTCCACTTTTGGATGACTGCATACCGTATAGTTTGATAGAGTTTGGTGGATTTGTCACAGCACAAATGAGGTTTTCACTGCCGCTCAGAGGCCTCAAATGTTCATACAAGAACGTAAACTTTGTGCTCTGGAATCACCGACAGGATCACATCGATACAAGTGGTGAAAATTGTGACGGGGAAACAACTACAGATGATGAGGGCTTGTCGACAGCTGATGCGGTAAATTTGCTGGATGCAATGCGACGTGAACAAAACGCGACTGCGGCAAATGAGCGCTGGAATGACAGTTCTCAAATCCAACGAGCAATCATGGTGATCATGGTGCTTTTGGATGCCAGTTCTGGTGCATGGCCATTTGGTATGACAATGGAGGTTGCGAAAATAATCGGCAATTTGTCCCAATGATTGTACAGAAGTGCTGGACGCAACGGTGCAGGTGCGTATGGCTTGGTGTGATGCCAAAATGAAATTTTCCATGTGATGAATGTTCAGAAGAGAAAAACATGGCCAGATCGTCGAAAAAATGCTATGTTAAGTGCAAGCAAAATGTTGAGACACGCCTCAAACTTCCAAGGTGGGGTGCAGACAATTTGGATTTTTGGATCCTGCTGACATGTGGCCAAGCACAAGGATGACACGCACAAAAACGAAATGTAAAAATGGTGTCAGTTTGAGTGGCATGGCATGAAAAACACGTCGTGCCCTTTATTTTGTGGGGCCTTCACAAAACAGTGTGCAGTTCAACGGGTATGCAGCGGTCAAAAATGTAGGTCCTTTCATTTCCGATTGTGTTGTGTTTTTGTTGCCATTTTTTATTAAAAAACAATCATACGCATGATCCAAGTGACAATGTTCTTGGCAGTGTTTGTTTAATATGTTTATTTTTTTTGTTTTTTTAGTTGATCGCTGGGTACACAAGTATCCACAGTGCCTCACTATGTGCTGCTGCTACATTGCCGCCGTTTTGCCCCAATATGCGCGGGCAGTAAAAACGGGTTTTGTTGCAGTTCTTTGGCAAACAAACCCAAGAGCTGAACCATGGCTACAGTATTTCCCTCAGGAGTAGACTGTCAACTATTTCTTTGGTGGAACGATCCATGCAGAATGTGTTGATGGGTGTGTTTATGACATGACATGCGTTGATGGTCTTTGAACATTTGCCACATGTTGATTATCTTTATGTTTGTGTGTTCCTTGCCAGTTTGCAGAACAACGCACTTTCACATTTGCAAAACCATTTGATATTGTCGGCGACCAGGCAGTGCAACGGCTGAACGTGCCGACTGCGCATCTTCGACCGCCTTGGTTTACGTCCAAATCCTAGTCACGCATCCAAAGATGTTTCACCGTAAAATTAATTGCACAGAATTGGTGGCCTGACAGATTCGCATCCAATGGTTATATAATATATATCGCAACAAAATCCAATTTCATGATTTGCGAGTGTGAACTTTATTAAGTTCCACCACGTAACAGCATAATACACGTATTGAAATAATGCGCAGATTCTTCAACCGTTTTGTCAAATGTGCCATTGTTAAAACTTGGGCAAATTTCCCTTATTGGGGGATGGTCATCCCTCCTTCAACAAGGGTCAATATACTTGCTATAAAAAATCCCCAACATAGTGGGAAAACCATAGCCATACCATACCCGTCATATACCATGTTTTGTCCATGGCACAATTGTTGATGAAATAACGGGTAAATGAATATGAAATGCACCAGGCCTCCAGAGAGTGCAGTTCAACTGCCGGAATTTATTGAGAGCGTCAACCTGAGGAAACTGCAATGCTTGACCAACATTTGATGTTATTGTGTTCAGGATCATGGCTGGCAGCTGCAAACGAACATTTGTGGAATAAGGTGCAGCTGTGGGCGGAGCACCATCGAGGTTCTACCACTACGCTGCCCAAATCTTAGCCAATTTTAATATTTCATAGGTGACTTATCAGCCGTGGAAGTAGTATTGCTTGACTTGACTACCATTTGACCTGTTGAATCGTTGTTGAATCACCGTTGAACTACTGCAGCCGTTCTATGGTTCCGTGGTCCCAGGATGCCGCAGAGGCAAGCAATGTCTCCCCAGAAACGCGAAAATTTCTTCAGGCATGTCGGACAGATGTGGACGAGGCCAGATTGCGCGTGTGTCTCTTTCATACAGACAAAGTCATTTTGCGTATTTCTGAATATAAATAAAAATTCAGAAAATTGTCATTTTGTAAAGATGATTTTGCGTTGTGAGTTCAGATTGCATGAAATATGATCTCCAAATTTCAAGGTTCGAACGCTGCTAGATGATGGGGCAGCTGTCTACCAGGTACATCTTTGAAATGCCTGTTGAATTATTTTGTTTTCTTCTTTGGCAGATGCCATTCTGCCGCGTTCCATCTTCCAAGCGATTTGCATTTTCACACTGTGAGACTTGAGGCAAATGCCAACGGTTTCTCAGGGCTGCACATGGCTGCAGCAAACCTTCAGACGGATGTGGCCCAGGCAGCTGTTGCAATTTCTTACCTAGTGACCCAGTCCAAGTTTCAACACATTTCAACACAGGGGTTTCTTTACGCAAAGGATTCGTACAAACAATCAGCTTCAAAACTTTTCAAAGGCTTCGGGCCTTGAACAAAAACTGCCCAGCCAAACTGAAGCTGCTGAAACCGGGTTGGAGTGGTCGTGGCAAAGCAGAGATGAAATTGACAGGTTAGAGAAATGATGCCACATGAGCCACATGGGCCCGGATTTCAATGCATCAGATACTGGAGAAATTACACTTGATGACACTGCAGTGAGGATCAATTCTTGACTTGATCATACCTACGTGCTGTAAATGACCATTGCAATTTTACAGACTCCAGTTTCTTTCAAAACCTCTGTGGATGCTACTCTTTTAGGTTTCAAAGGCAGTTCTGCATTGTTTTTGTACCGTTACTGACTTGTTTCTTGCTATTGTTAGCCCCTTTGTTGGCATCTTGGGTCTTCTTAGATTTGCTGACATCTTGAATTGTAATCCATGCTTTCTTGCTTTCGGGTTTGATTCGGTGGTTGTTTTTTTCGGCTTTTGGATTTTCTGTGCGGAGTTCAAGGTTTACTTCACCTCTCACAATTTAAGACACAGGGAACAGGTGGTGCCAACATGTGGTAGCTTCACCATCAAAACGAAGGCTGCAAGGTTCATATTTCGAAACCTGTTTGGACGAAGGGGCCACAACACAATTCAAAGGTTCGGTTGCTCCCAGAACACAGCAACTAAGAGGTAGATCAAGGTTATTGGAATGGTGCTGCAAGCAACTCACAAGTACCTCACCATATTTCTTGAACACAGACGCACAGAAACAGGTTTTTGCCTGCCAAATTCCCAGATCACCAAATTACAGGATACGATCTGAATGAAGACTCTACATCAGAAAGGTTTCAAACGTATCAGAATGTTGTTTGTTTGACAATATAGCAATTTGCTAGGAAGATAGCTTTCCCAGGTTCAAACTCAAACACAGACAAGAAAGACCCAAAGATCTAGAACCCTGTACCTAGTTGCTGTCGATTTTTGTTGACCCTTACATTCCTGCAGCTCCTACTTGAACGTGGTCACGACGTGAATGCTGCCAGCTTGGGATTTTGGAGATGTTGCTTTGCAGACTCCATCAACGAGTTGGAAAAGAGACATAGTCACAATCTTCACAAATGTCATAGTATCAGTTTCATTTGTGGAAAACTCTTCATCCTTGACATTCCTTGACATCCCTTGACATCCCTTGACATCACAGCAATCATAGCAACATACACAAGGTGATGGAGGCCAACGGACTGACGTGTGGAGCTTGATCCTGTTGAGACACACAAACTGTATGCCTCTGTGGATTTTGCCAGCGCCCGGGAAAACATGGATGGAAAATCTTGGTGATCTCTAAGTCCAAAGTAGTACCAAAAAGCTTTCTCCACCCAAAAAGGCAAGAAGAGTTCCTTCTTGCTTGGATTGTGCATAAATCTCAAACTTGGAAGTCCATAGATTCCATAGATGGTTTGGTGCCTTTTCTTTCCCGTATGAGTCTTGCGCAGTGTTCTCCTGTTCAAGGGCACTCCCTTGATCTATTTCTGACAAGGCCATTAGATTACTGCGTTGATGCGGGCTTCTCTGCAGCTGAAATCAGTGGTCTTGAGCCCTGGATCGGGAGGAACAAGGACAAGTAACGAAGGTGAAGATTCAGTCAGCCCTGAACAGCTTTGCACTTTGTGTAATTAGTCAGTTGCTTTCTTCGGCGCAACTCCAGTTTCTCTGTGCCTACACCATTCTTTCTGTGGTTCCACTTGAAGCTACCTGCAGCTCAAAGGGAGGGTGTCAGGGAAACAACTAGGACTTTTTCCAAAGATAGGACTGGCAGGTTGAACTTTTCTCTTGGTTCAAACGAATGGTAGTACTAAGATGTAATAAGTAATTTAAGTAATACGCATTAATAAGCCAGAAGGGAACCAAAAGAGTCATACAGTCATACAGAGTCTTCCATTTTCAACTTGACAGGAAAGCAGGTCACAACTGTCAGCAACATTTACCATCAGTCATGCCGCGGCCGCTACTCTCAGCGGATGCTGAGGGTGATGCACCTTGGTGCTTTTTCAGAGCTGATTGCATTTTCATCAGCACAGCAATGTTTCGGCATATTGCCCCAGTAGACAACTTGCTGCAATTCCCAGGTTTCTGTCTTTGAAGTTTCCACACACTGCGCTCGGATTGTCTCAGGCGTCAGAGAATGCGCCCAAGGACATGTCTGAGGCTGACATCGACAAAATTAAGGAGGATGGAACGGTGAAATGGTGAAATGGACCTCTTAGAAAGGGTAAGGAAAAGCCTGAATTGGCATTTTTGTTACAATGTGAGAGACATATTTGAGCCTTTCCTTTCAATTGTGTCAATGACTTGCACTCAAACGAAAGTCGGTTCACAAGCAGACAACCTTCAATTCGAATCGCTTGGAAACTGTTTGTCAGAGCTCTGAGCTGCAGGACCTGGCTAGAGACTTTCAGAGCCATCTAAATGGCTTGAGTGCAGTGCCAGCTCCTCATACTGATGCAAAGTTGCACAGGTGGTAGCAGTGCTGGCCATGAAGTGGCTGTCGCATGCTGTCACATGCTGTCGCATGCTGTCGCCAGGTTCAACCAGCTCTTAGGCCAGCACGATTTGCACTTTGACAAGGCACCTCTCAATAGAGCTGACCCTAGGCAGGTGCCTCACTGCCAATGGGATCTGCTAATCAAGAGATAACTCAGCACTGTGGAGCTAACTCATGCTTTGTCAAGATTTCCCGGCCTGCCTGAATTTGCACCTCGCACACACCAATGCCCCCTCGGAAGTCTCACAACGCACAGTATGTGTTAGGCTTGCACTCGACAGTTTCGGCAGTAGAACTTTCTTGCCATTCCATGGATGGCAAGGATGGCAATGGCTTGGCTGACAGCTTCGAGTCCGCTCCAGCAGAGCTGCTTGGTAGTATATGCCTGCATCATTTGGGATCACTTGGTTGTGTCCACAATATGTTGGTCCAATGGAGCTCAGAATTGCTATGAAACACCAGAATATCGAGTCCATTCACCAGTGGGTGCCACTTTTGCTTGGACATCAGGGGTGGAAAGTTTGGTTAGCTGATTCGCTAAATGAATGAAACTTGTTTGCGGCACAAACCGGCGCATGTATTTTCCTGTTTCACTTTTTCATATGCGGAAACTTGTTCAAGATAGGCTGCAAGTATGTTCAGGGCTACAGCACACAGAGGCGGGTCTCTCAAGCCAGCTGTCGCATTTCCAGGAAGCGAAAGGACTCCAAGTTCAAAAAGAACCCCAAGGCCACTGAAGCAGAAACGACTGGGAGTTGGGCCCTCCAAGCTCCTGCCAGGAAGTTTTATGACTATTTAAAAGGACATTAAGACGTGGACAAACCTGCAAGTTCTTTCAAGCGGCTGCTGCAACATTTCCACTTTCTTTTCCCCCCAACTTCTTTGTTAAACTTGTTTGTTTGGTTGAGGGCAAACTGCATCCTGGCGTTGCTCAAATGCAAGGAGCTTTTGGCACTTCGGGAGACCGTCAGACAGTCAATTCCGGAGAGTCCCAGATTGAGTGCCGGATGCCGATCCCAGCAGGAGCTTGAGAACCAGCTCCTTGGAAGATCAGATAATTCCTCTCCCCACTGTCCAAATTGGAAGTGTCCTTTTTGCGGATCAGCATCTATCTATCTATCTATATATATATATATATATATCTAAATTCTATATAATCAAAGGAAGTTGGGAAGCAATACTTCCGTGTTACGGACAAATAGAATTCTGCGACTTGAAATGATGAAGGGTGGTAGATCACATAACAATACATAACATAACAATACATAACAAAAGAATAAGAAGCGGTGGAATTGACCTTGATGAAGGGTGGTGATAATGACGGGTGGTGACAAAGGGAAGTGGTGACGATGGGAAGGGGTGACGATGGGAAGTGGTGAGGAAGGGAAGTGGTGAGGAAGGGAAGTGGTGACGATGGGAAGGGGTGACGATGGGAAGTGGTGAGGAAGGGAAGTGGTGAGGAAGGGAAGTGGTGACGATGGGAAGTGGTGAGGAAGGGAAGTGGTGAGGAAGGGACGTGGGGACGATGGGAAGTGGTGAGGAAGGGAAGTGGTGTCGATGGGAAGTGGTGAGGATGGGAAGGGGTGACGATGTGAAGTGGTGAGGAAGGGAAGTGGTGAGGAAGGGAAGTGGTGACGATGGGAAGTGGTGAAGAAGGGAAGGGGAGTGGTGAGGAAGGGAAGTGGTGAAGAAGGGAAGTGATGACAAAGGGAAGTGGTGAGGTAGGGAAGTGGTGACGAAGGGAAGTGGTGACGAAGGGACGTGGTGAGGAAGGGAAGTGGTGAGGAAGGGAAGTGGTGAAGAAGGGAAGTGGTGACGAAGGGAAGTGGTGAAGAAGGGAAGTGATGATGAAGGGGAGTGGTGACGAAGGGAAGTGGTGAGGAAGGGAAGTGATGAAGAAGGGAAGTGGTGACGAAGGGAAGTGGTGAAGAAGGGAAGTGATGATGAAGGGGAGTGGTGACGAAGGGAAGTGGTGAGGAAGGGAAGTGGTGAAGAAGGGAAGTGATGATGAAGGGGAGTGGTGATGAAGGGGAGTGGTGAGGAAGGGAAGTGGTGAAGAAGGAAAGTGATGATGAAGGGGAGTGGTGAGGAAGGGAACTGGCAACCATGAAGGGGAGTGGTGCATGATCTGTTTTGGGGAGGAAGCCGGAGCACGAAAGCTTGTATTTTTCCGTGTAAAGTGGCTTCAGCCGGCGATGAAAGGTACCTCGTGTGTGCGGCGGGTGCGGTTTGGATCGTTTCGAGTTCAATCGGTTCCTCCTCTGTGTTCTGAAACGAGTGGTTGTTCCTGTGTGCGTAGTTCTACGCGTTTCTTGAATCTGTGGTTGCAGATCGTATTGGAATGGCTGCATGATTGTTGTCATCTGGTGTTGCCATGTGCGTAGATGCATGCGGGTTAGCCACGTCATGCTGCAAAACGCATTGTAATGGCTGCATGAATGTTGCATGGGCTTTCTTTTGAAAGGGGAGGAAGCCGGAGCACGAAACCTTGTGTTTTTCTGTGTAAAGTGGCTTCAGCCGGCGATGAAAGGTTTGGATCGTTTCGAGTTCAATCGGTTCCTCCTCTGTGTTCTGCAACGAGTGGTTGTTCCTGTGTGCGTAGTTCTATGCGTTTCTTGAATCTGTGGTTGCAGATCGCATTGGAATGGCTGCATGATTGTTGTCATCTGGTGTTGCCATGTGCGTAGATGCATGCGGGTTAGCCACGTCATGCTGTAAAACGCATTGTAATGGCTGCATGAATGTTGCATGGGCCATGGGCTTTCTTTTGGGGAGGAAGCCGGAGCACGAAACCTTGTGTTTTTCTGTGTAAAGTGGTTTCAGCCGGCGATGAAAGGTACCTCGTGTGTGCGGCGGGTGCAGTTTGGATCGTTTCGAGTTCAATCGGTTCCTCCTCTGTGTTCTGCAACGAGTGGTTGTTCCTGTGTGCGTAGTTCTATGCGTTTCTTGAATCTGTGGTTGCAGATCTCATTGGAATGGCTGCATGCATGATTGTTGCCATCTGGTGTTGCCATGTGCGTAGATGCATGCGGGTCAGCAACGTCATGCTGCAAAACGTATTGTAATGGCTGCATGAATGTTGCATGGGCTTTCTTTTGGGGAGGAAGCCGGAGCACGAAACCTTGTATTTTTCCGTGTAAAGTGGCTTCAGCCGGCGATGAAAGGTACCTCGTGTGTGCGGCGGGTGCGGTTTGGATCGTTTCGAGTTCAATCGGTTCCTCCTCTGTGTTCTACAACGAGTGGTTGTTCCTGTGTGCGTAGTTCTATGCGTTTCTTGAATCTGTGGTTGCAGATCGCATTGGAATGGCTGCATGATTGTTGTCATCTGGTGTTGCCATGTGCGTAGATGCATGCGGGTTAGCCACGTCATGCTGTAAAACGCATTGTAATGGCTGCATGAATGTTGCATGGGCTTTCTTTTGGGGAGGAAGCCGGAGCACGAAACCTTGTGTTTTTCCGTGTAAAGTTGCGTCAGCCGGTGATGAAAGGTACCTCGTGTGTGCGGCGGGTGCGGCTGCGGTCGTTTCATGCGCGAATTGTTCCTCCTATGTGTTTTGCAACGAGTGGTTGTGTCTGTGTGCGTAGTTCTATGCGGTTCTAGAATCTCTAGTTGCATTTTGCAATGACATGGCTGCTTGATTGGCGTGATTTGATGTTGCCACGTGCGTAGATAGGTGCAGGTTTGCTACGGGATGCTGTGAAACGCATTGTAATGGCTGCGTGAAGGTTGCTCGATGCCACGGCTGCATGCGTAATCCTGTTGTCTTCTGCAGCTGAACATCGTAAATCGTATTGGAATGGCTGCATCCAGGCTGCGATGGTGATTTGTCAGCAGATTTTCGCACTTTTGGCGCTATTAATTTTCCTTTTAAAAATCCTTTTAAACGTGCTTCAAAATCGTCTTTTTTCTGCTTTGGCGTCGAGATCCGGTTTTGGAGCTGCTATTGCCGACACCGTTGCGCGTAGTTCTATTGTGCTTTGCAATTCAGTCTCTGCAGATCGCATTGTAATGGCTGCGTTAAGGTTGCTTGGTCACAGTAGTACTGGGAAGTAGTTTGTGCAAGCTTTGTAGTACACAGTAGTACTGGGAAGTGCTCTGTGCAAGCTTTGCAGTACAAAGTAGTACTGGGAAGTGTTTTGTGACAAGCTTTGTAGTCCAAAGTAGTACTGGACCGTGTTTTGTGCAAGCTTTGTAGTACAAAGTAGTACTGGGAAGTAGTTTGTGCGAGCTTTGTAGTACACAGTAGTACTGGGAAGTGCTTTGTGCAAGCTTTGTAGTACAAAGTAGTACTGGGAAGTGCTTTGTGCAAGCTTTGTAGTACAAAGTAGTACTGGGAAGTAGTTTGTGCACGCTTTGTAGTACAAGTAGTACTGGGAAGTTTTGTGCAAGCTAGTACAAAGTAGTACTGGGAAGTGTTTGTGCAAGCTTTGTAGTACAAAGTAGTACTGGGAAGTAGTTTGTGCAAGCTTTGTAGTACAAAGTAGTACTGGGAAGTGCTTTGTGCAACCTTTGTAGTACAAAGTAGTACTGGGAAGTGCTTTGTGCAAGCTTTGTAGTACAAAGTAGTACTGGCAAGTGTTTTGTGCAAGCTTTGTAGTACACACTAATACTGGAAGTAGTTTGTGCAAGCTTTGTAGTACAAACTAATACTGGGAAGTAGTTTGTGCAAGCTTTGTAGTACAAAGTAGTACTGGGAAGTGCTTTGTGCAAGCTTTGTAATACAAAGTAGTACTGGGAAGTAGTTTGTGCAAGCTTTGTAGTACAAAGTAGTACTGGAACGTGTTTTGAGCAAGCTTTGTAGTACAAAGTAGTACTGGGAAGTGGTTTTTGCAAGCTTTTGTAGTAGACATCAGTACTGGGAAGTAGTTGAGATGAAAATAGCCAAGAAGAACGTAGCTGACATATGGGAAGACATGGAATGAGATGAGAAGAGCTCAGATGAGATGAGTTGAGGTGAAGTGCAAGTGTGAAGTGTGGAGTGTGGGGTGTGAAGAGTGCAATGTGAAGTGTGAGGAAAGTGTTTGCATTGTACCGGGGTCGCGCGCAGGTCATGTTCTTGGACAGCAACACTGCAACAGCTTCGCACAAAGCACGCAACGCACGGGCCTGGCTGGCGCATGGCGCATGCAAGTTCCTTAGTAGTAGTACTGGGAAGTGACTCATGAAAGCTTAGATGACATATGAGAAGAGATGGGATGAGAAGAGATGAGCTGGGATAAGGTGAGAAGAGCTCAGATGAAATGAAGTGTGGAGTGTGAAGGGTGCAGTGTGAAGTGTGGGGCGTGAAGAGTGCAGTGTGAAGTGTGGAGTGTGAAGTGTGAAGTGTGGACTGTGAAGTGTGAAGTGTGGAGTGTGAAGTGTGAAGTGTGGACTGTGAAGTGTGAAGTGTGTACTGTGAAGTGTGAAGTGTACTGTGAAGTGTGAAGTGTGGAGTTTGCAGTGGGAAGCGTGCAGTGTGAAGTGTGGAGTGTGGAGTTTAAAGTGTGGAGTGTGAAGCGTGAAGTGCGAAGTGGAGCTTCAAATGTGACATGTGAAACAGGACACCACTTTCGCAGAGTGCACACACGCACGGGCTTGGCTGGCGCACGGCGCATGCAAGTTCTATAGATGAGAAAGGTCTTATATATATCTTTTAAGGCAACTTCCGCCCCGCCTCGTGCGGGTACTACTGGTATATATGTAAGCGAAGGAAATTTAGAAGTCAAACTTCCAACAATATGGACAGATGAAAAGCAGAGGTGGAGCAGAAGAATAGAGAAGAGAAGAGTAGAAGAGAGAAGAGCAGAAGAGAGAAGATCAGAGAAGAGAAAGAGTCAGAAGAAAGAAGATGCAGGTGCGCGAAAAGGTAGGAAAGTCGCGAAACACTGCGTTTTTCCAATGATATGTGGCTCAAGAGGGTCGAAAAGTAGGCTCGCTAAAGCGGCGGGTGGGGAGGAAAAATTGCACGCCCTTGTGGCGCGAAGCACATTTCGAAGTCAAAATGTACAAAGCACACCAGCTCCGGTCCACTTTTCGAAGTTGAGATGTCTAAAAAGTGCACGCTGTTGTGGCGCGAAGCACATTTGTAAGTTAAAAAGCTGAAAGCACCTCACGTTCGGACCGCTTTTGGAAGTTGAGATGTCGAAAAAGTGCACGCTGTTGTGGCGCGAAGCACATTTCGAAGTCAAAATGTACAAAGCACCAGGTCCGGACCGCTTTTGGAAGTTGAGATGTCGAAAAAGCGCACGCCGTTGTGGCGCGAAGCACATTTCGAAGTCAAAATGTTAAAAACACCAGGGGTTCGGACCATTTTTGGACTTTCAGATATCGTTCCGCGTGGCAGGTGCAAGGGATTGTGGACCTTGTCAAAAGTGAGCAAAACGTGAGGGTTTTGTAGCATTTCCAAAAACGATGGCAGGCGTGGGGCATTTGAAGAGGCTCTGCAAAGATGCATTTTCCGTGGCAGGCACAGTACAAGAGACATGTTCATCAGAGCTGTTAGGAGGTCCAGGCGCTGATTTCCTGAGAGTGGTTGCATTTTGGAGCCTCAGATCTTCAGGTTTGCTGAGATGATTTTGCGTGACAGGTGCAGCACTTCGTATGACCTGGCATCACTTTTTCGTGGCAGGCGCAGTAGTTTAGACAGGTGGAGTGGAAAAATCGCAAAACGCATTGGTACGAGGCCGTCAGCTCTGCACTGAACTTTCCATTTTTGAAGGATGTCTCGCAGAATTGCTTCGTTTTTGATGTTGTCAAGTTAAAAAAATGAAAAACATCTCGCAGAATTGCTTCGTTTTTGATGTTGTCAAGTGCAAAAAAAAGGAAGTCTCGCAGAATTGCTTCGTTTTGGATGTTGTCAAGTTCAAAAACTGAGGAAGTCTCGCAGAATCGCTTCGTTTCCACGCTTGCATATAGACAGATAGATAGATAGATAGATAGATAGACAGACAGACAGACAGACAGACAGATAGGCAGAGAGAGAGAGAGAGATAGATAAGATAGATAGATAGATAAGATAGATTAGATAGATTAGATAGATTAGATGGATTAGATAGATTAGATAGATTAGATAGATTAGATAGATTAGATAGATTAGATAGATTAGATAGATTAGATAGATTAGATAGATTAGATAGATTAGATAGACTAGATAGATTAGATAGATTAGATAGATTAGATAGATTAGATTAGATTAGATTAGATTATTAGATAGATAGATAGATTAGATGGATTAGATTGATTAGATAGATTAGATAGATAGATGGATGGATGGATGGATGGATAGATAGATAGATAGGTAGGTAGGTAGATCGATAGATACATAGATAGATAGACCGATAGACAGATAGACAGATAGACAGACAGATAGGTAGGTAGGTAGGTAGATAGTCAGAGAAAGAGAGAAAAAAAGAGAGAGAGAAAGAGAGGAGACCTCAACCACCATTCGATCCATCAGTGGCTTCGCTCTGCCATCCGTGATTCACAACAACCTAGCTCTCCTATAGGTTTCCTATTTTTGAAACTTCCGCCACCGCCTTGTGCGGTACTACTGGTATATATATATATAAATATTACGCATATATGTATGCATATATATATATATTTATACGTATGTATATGTGCTTTGAATTTTTTGGGCGTGTTATTTGCCAGCCTGAGGTTATAGGATACCGCTGCCAACCAAACAGCATCAGTTGTATAATTTCTCGAAGTCAGGTATAAGAGACTTGACATCGAAAACAACGGCAAACTGAGCTGCAGCGACCTTGAGCGCGCTGTTGACTCAGTTCCTACAATCTTGTTTCTCACAGCCTTTCTGGTTTCGATGTTTTGTGAATGTATTACATGCTGACTTGCTACTATAGCGGTTTGATTTCAAGGACACTTGAGGGAAACCACTCTTGGAAGTACCTGTCTGTGCCAACAATTTGCGTGTCCTGCCAACACAAAGTAAAGGGTGCAGCGAACTTTATCAATAGATCTATTTCGCCGTAGTGATCTCTTACAGCGGAACCTGGGCAAGATATTGGAAGCAGTCTCTTGAATCTCTTGATTTTTTTTGTCATGAGGTGGTGAAGAAGTTTGGCAACGATTGGGCAGTGGAAGATATGCCTGCAGCCAAGCCAGATCGCTCCAGCTGCACAGTGGTTTGACAAGAATGATGGAGGATAAATCAATCATTTTTTTTATAATTGCTAAGGTTTTCGCTTGTATCTGCGACATTGGAAGTCAAATCCCAACTCCGCAGAGCAACATCTTCAAAGCATCTCGACAGCAAAGTGCACCCCCCTGTACAAGAACTTCACGACCTCATTCTTGTCTTTCAACCATTTTTGTCCGCTTCTTTCCTCTTTGTAGTGCATTCTTTCGTTTCTTTTTGGTGACTTGTTTGCAGGCTAAGGTTTCAAGTTGTGACAGACCAGAATTGTAAATGACTGGACTGGTGACTCTTTTTACTCTCTGGATGTCGTTCCAGCTCTTTGACCCATCAGCGGCTCGGAAGCGAGTGCAAGTGTTCAGTTCACTCTTGCAAGGAAACAGAGCTTCAAGAACCGAAGTCGGGCAGAGGCACGCCATTTTGATCCATTTTATACATATTCTTGACCCTTTTGTTCATAGCTACTGTGCAGCATAGTGAGTCAAAGTCGAAGTTTTCCCTGCGAAGTTCTTGGATATGTGGACTGACAGTGTAAGCATTCCTATGTTGACTTGCTGTGAAGCATGTGAAGCATGTGCCAGGTGGGGCTTAGTGGGTCCATGGTGGACTTCGAAACCTTCAAGGCCCGATAGCCCGATGGCAGTGACCGTGTGGTGACACAGTGCTGACGTGGTGACGCAGTGGATTCATCGCCACCAGGTCCTGGCCATTGAGGACTCTGCGATAACTGGTGCCTTGGTCAAAACAGCTGTTGGCATCCATGGAATCTAATCATTATCTAATCGACATAATGGACATGTGACGTACTCTGACAGAATGTGACAGAATGTGACGTGTCTGCTTTCAGACAGCTCGAATGTGAGCCAAGAAACCTCACTGCCAGGTGAGTGCAGATGAAAATTACATGTGTAAATTCCATAGTCCTACAAAGTATCTTTGAGTTGGACGACATGAAGCTTTCGTAGTTACTTGTGTCCCCGGTGCTTCCTGATCATTTTTTTCATTGAAATCGGGCGGAGTCTTGGAGACGCTTTGCGACAGGGGTTGGATATTTTTTTGTTGAGGAAACCACAACGCCACAAAGAGCCATAGACAAAGCACCACAAAGCCATATTTGCGATTGAAGTTGCAATTGTCACTGAATTTCAATGGGTGGAAGTCCTGTCCCTTGTGGTTTTGGTTTCGTGAAACCTCTCAGCCTCTCAGCGCCAAGATACCTTCACCTGGGAACAACAAAGCGATGCCAAAATTCTCAGAGATGCGCTTCAAGTTTTCCTGCCATGTTTTGGGGGTCTCTGAACCGGGAGGCTGCTCTAAGACGCTCTAAGTCTCACTTGACGACTCACTTGTGAATCCTTGGTGCAGTTCCCTTCTTCGTTCCCTTCTCTTCCTGCTTTGTGCTTACAGCGCCAGGCTGAACAGACCTGGAGTCGCTATCAGGATGACGGCCACCTCCGTGGTCAGGTCGCACTGAACGCATTCAACCACCAGCACGACCGTTTGAATCGTTTGTTGCCTCCAAATCTACCTTTTGAATCCTTTTGATACCTTTTGCATGGGCTCATCTGAGCTCATCCTGTGCACAGCTCCATAGTGCTCACCGGGTGGTTGTGGGTTGGGTTTTAAGCAGCCACTCCTGACCCAACCCATGTTCGATTGCACGGCAGACTACCTTCGAGCTGAAGCCAGAAATATCGAGTCTGCAGAGGAAAGTGCATGCCTTCTTTGAAATCGTCCCACCTTTGGTGATAGACCCTTGGACTTCGATGAATGATATGCATGCAAAACGGGCTAGAACCCTTTCTGGGTTGCGATCAGTTTCCAAGCTGTAGCAACATCACTGGTGTGCTTTAACATTTGAGAATTCAGCTCTTCGCTGAACATGAATTTTTGTGGAATCGGTATAGATCTGCACCCTCCAGTATGGGGCATTGTGATCTAGATGCAAACCTGCATCTTGGCAAAAATGGGCATGACTCAGATGCTTTGAAACGGTAAGGCGTAAGGTACGTTGAGTGCCGCAAGAAAAAGTTTGGTCCAACCCTGTACAAATGAATGACTAGTACTTCATGGCAACGTAGACGGTGTCAGGGAACACACGACCGTGTCAGGGAACATGAGTCAGAGAACAGGAACGTCGGTGTCAGGGAACAGGAAGGTCGGAGTCAGGGAACAATACGTCGGAGTCAGGGAACATATGCGTACAGTGCATATAGTAAGGTGCGCAGCGTGTGCGAACAGTGCACAAAGTGCCCAAACTGGGTAAAATGCGCAAAGTACGTAAAAAGTGCTCAAAAAGTGCGTAAAAAATATTAAAAAATGCGTAAAGTGCGAGTAAACTGGGTAAAGTGTGCAAAGTGCGTAAAAAGATGTAAAAAGTGCGTAACAAGTGCGTAAAAAGCGCCTAAAAATGCGTCTATACAGTGCGCGCCATGTCAAAGTGCGCAAAGTGCGTAAAGTGCGTGAACAGTGCGCAAAAATGCGTAAAAAGTGCATAAAAAGTGCGTAAAGTGCGAGTAAACTGGGTAAAGTGCGCAAAGTGTGTAAAAAGTGTGCAAAAAGTGCGTAAAAAGTGCGTAAAAAATGCGTCTATACGGTGCGCGCCATGTCAAAGTGCGAACAGTGCACAAAGTGCATAAACTGGGTAAAGTGCGCAAAGTGCGTAAAAAGTGCGCAAAAAGTGCGTAAAAAGTGAGCAAAAAGTGCGCAAAAAATACGTCTCTGCAGTGCGCGCCATGTCAAAGTGCGAACAGTGTACAAAGTGCCTAAACTGGCTAAAGTGCGCAAAGTGCGTAAAAAGTGCGCAACAAGTGCGTAAAAATGCGAGTAAACTGGGTAAAGTGCGCAAAGTGCGTAAAAAGTGCGCAAAAAGTGTATAAAAAGTGCGTAAAAAGTGCGTAAAAATGCGTCTATATAGTGCGCGCCATGTCAAAGTGCGAACAGTGCACAAAGTGCACAAACTGGGTATAAAGTGCGCAAAGTGCATAAAAAGTGCGCAAAAAGTGCGTAAAAAGTGTGCAAAAAATGCGTCTACACGGTGCGCGCCATGTCAACGTGCGCCAAGTGCGTAAAGTGCTTGAAAAGTGCGCAAAAATGAGTAAAAAGTGCGAAAAGTGCGAGTAAACTGGGTAAAGTGTGGAAAGTGCGTAAAAAGTGTGCAAAAAGTGCGTAAAAAGTGCGTAAAAAATGCGTCTATACGGTGCGCGCCATGTCAAAGTGCGAACAGTGCACAAAGTGCCTAAACTGGGTAAAGTGCGCAAAGTGCGTAAAAAGTGCGCAAAAAGTGCGTAAAAAGTGCGTAAAAAGTGCGCAAAAAATACGTCTCTGCGTGCGCGCCGTGTCAAAGTGCGAACAGTGTACAAAGTGCCTAAACTGGCTAAAGTGCGCAAAGTGCGTAAAAAGTGCGCGAAAAGTGCGTAAAAATGCGAGTGAACTGGGTAAAGTGCGCAAAGTGCATAAAAAGTGCGCAAAAAGTGCATAAAAAGTGTGTAAAAAATGGGTCTATATAGTGCGCGCCATGTCAAAGTGCGAACAGTGCACAAAGTGCACATACTCGGTATAAAGTGCGCAAAGTGCGTAAAAAGTGCGCAAAAAGTGCGTAAAAAGTGCGCAAAAAATGCGTCTATACAGTGCGCGCCATGTCAAAGTGCGCAAAGTTCGTAAAGTGCGTGAAAAGTGCGCAAAAATGTGTAAAAAGTGCGTAAAGTGCGAGTAAACTGGGTAAAGTGCGCAAAGTGTGTAAAAAGTGCGTAAAAAGTGCGTAAAAAATGCGTCTATACAGTGCGCGCCATGTCAACGTGCGCAAAGTGCGTAAAGTGCTTGAAAAGTGCGCAAAAATGAGTAAAAAGGCGTAAAAAGTGAGAAAAGTGCGAGTAAACTGGGTAAAGTGTGCAAAGTGCGTAAAAAGTGCGCAAAAAGTGCGTAAAAAGTGTGTAAAAAGTGCGTGAAAAATGCGTCTATACGGTGCGCGCCATGTCAAAGTGCGAACAGTGCACAAAGTGCATAAAATGGGTAAAGTGCGCAAAGTGCGTAAAAAGTGCGCAAAAAGTGCGTAAAAAATGCGTCTATACAGTGCGCGCCATGTCAAAGTGCGAACAGAGCACAAAGTGCCTAAGGTAAAGTGTGCAAAGTGCGTAAAAAGTGTGCAAAAAGTGCGTAAAAAGTGCGTAAAGTGCGAGTAAACTCGGTAAAGTGCGCAAAGTGCGTAAAAAGTGCGCAAAAAGTGTATAAAAAGTGCGTAAAAAGTGCGTAAAAAATGCGTCTATATACAGTACGCGCAATGCCAAAGTGCGAACAGTGCAGAAAGTGCCTAAACTGGGTAAAGTGCGCAAAGTGCGTAAAAAGTGCGCAAAAAGTGCGTAAAAAGATGTCAAAAGTGCGTAAAAAGTGCGAAAAGTGCGAGTAAACTGGGTAAAGTGTGCAAAGTGCGTAAAAAGTGCGTAAAAAGTGCGTAATAAGCGCGTAAAAAATGCGTCTATACAGTGCGCGCCATGTCAAAGTGCGAACATGCAGTGCACAAAGTGTCTAAATTGCGGTAAAGTGCGCAAAGTGCGCAAAAAGTGCGTAAAAAGTGCGTAAAAAGTGCGTAAAGTGCGAGTAAACTGGGTAAAGTGCGCAAAGTGCGTAAAAAGTGCGTATACAGTCCTCGCCATGTAAAAAGTGCGCAAAAAGTGCGTAAAAAATGTGTCTATACAGCGCGCGCCATGTCAATGCGAAGAGTGCACACAGTGCGTCAACTTGGGTACAGTGCGCAAAGTGCGTAAAAAGTGCGTAAAGAGTCCGCGCCACGCAAAGTGCACAAAGTGCATACAAAGTGCGTACAAAGTGCGTAACGTGCGTAGAAAGTGCGTACAAAGTGGTTGTCTCGACTCCAATTCATTGTTTAAAATCCCCCCCAAGCCCAACATGCAATAGTATTTCTCGATTCACAGCTTTCTCTTCCCACGATTCCAATTCATTATTTAAATTTCCCCCCAAACCCAAGCCCAACATGCAATAGTATTTCTGGATTCACAGCTTTCTCTGCTGAAGAGTTGTTGTCACGATTCCAATTCATTGTTTAAACTTCCCCCCCCAAAGCTGAACATGCAATAGATTTCTCCATTCACAGCTTTCTCTTCCGAAGAGTTCTTGTTTCGACTCCAATTCATTCTTTAAATTTCCCCCCCCCAAAGCCCAACATGCAATAGTATTTCTCGATTCACACCTTTCTCTGCTGAAGAGTTCTTGTCTCGACTCCAATTCATTGTTTAAATTTCCCCCCAAAGCTCAACATGCAATTGATTTCTCCATTCACAGCCTTCTCTTCCCAAGAGTTCTTGTCTCGATTCCAATTCATTGTTTAAACTTCCCCCCCAAAGCTCAAGATGCAATAGATTTCTCCATTCACAGCTTTCTCTTCCGAAAAGTTCTTGTTTCGACTCCAATTCATTGTTTAAATTTCCCCCCCAAGCCCAACATGCAATAGTATTTCTCGATGCACAGCTTTCTCTGCTGAAGAGTTCCTGCCACGATTCCAATTCATTGTTTAAACTTCCCCCCCCAAAGCTGAACATGCAATAGATTTTTCCATTCACAGCTTTCTCTTCCGAAGAGTTCTTGTTTCGAGTCCAATTCATTGTTTAAATTTCCCCCCCAAGCCCAACATGCAATAGAATTTCTCGATGCACAGTATTCTCTTCCGAAGAGTTCTTGTCTCGACTCCAATTCATTGTTTAAGTTTCCCTTTCAAAGCCCAACATGCAATAGTATTTCTCCAATCACAGCCTTCTCTTCCCAAGAGTTTTTGTCACGATTCCAATTCATTGTTTAAACTTCCCCCCCCCAAACCTCAACATGCAATTGGTTTCTCCATTCACAGCCTTCTCTTTCCAAAAGTTCTTGTCACGACTCCAATTCATTGTTTAAATTTCCCCCCCCAAGCCCAACATGCAATAGTATTTCTCCATTCACAGCTTTCTCTGCTGAAGACTTCTTGTCACGATTCCAATTCATTGTTTAAATTTCCCCCCCAAAGCTCAACATGCAATAGTATTTCTCGATTCACAGCTTTCTCTTCCGAAGAGTTCTACCCCCGATTCCAATTCATTGTTTAAACTTCCCCCCCAAAAGCTCAACAAGCAATAGATTTCTCCATTCACAGCCTTCTTTTCCCAAGAGTTCTTGTTTCGACTCCAATTCACTGTTTAAATTTCCCCCCCCAAAGCCCAACATGCAATAGTATTTCTCGATTCACACCTTTCTCTGCTGAAGAGTTCTTGTCTCGACTCCAATTCATTGTTTAAATTTCCCCCCCAAGCTCAACATGCAATTGATTTCTCCATTCACAGCCTTCTCTTCCCAAGAGTTCTTGTCTCGATTCCAATTCATTGTTTAAACTTCCCCCCCCAAAGCTCAACATGCAATTGATTTCTCCATTCACAGCTTTCTCCAATTCATTGTTTAAATTCCCCCCCAAGCCCAACATGCAATAGTATTTCTCGATGCACAGCTTTCTCTGCTGAAGAGTTCTTGCCACGATTCCAACAGCCTTCTCTTCCCAAGAGTTCTTGTCTCGATTCCAATTCATTGTTTAAACTTCCCCCCCCAAAGCTCAACATGCAATTGATTTTTCCATTCACAGCTTTCTCAACATGCAAGAAATGCCTCCATTCACAGACTTCTTGTCACGATTCCGATTCATGATTT